AATCCCTTCCCATCCCTACCATTAAATTCATGATGATGCCCAAGTCTCATGACAAAGCTTATCAGGCTTTTGATGTCTGGTTTCAGAGAATATAAAACCTGCCTACACTGATTGTGGTGGTGATTGTAAAACTCTTCTTGGCATGATTGAACTATTGAATAATATGATATGTGAATTATATGACAATAAAACTGTTAAAAAATCTGCATAAAGACCCAGAGTTCTCTAATGCCAAACAAACACGAACTAGAGTAATTGGCCCTTGTAATTGCTTAGAGTTGGTGTGGGAGAGGTATGCAGACAAATGTTTGAGCTGAAATGTCTGACCATTACCTAGCTAAAGCAGACACAACATTTTGTCATTTAAGAAATATTCACTGAAAATCTATTAACTAAAAGTTAGTGAATGATTTTAGTAGCAAAGTTGGGGGCCACGCCCAGGTCTTCTCGTTCCTGCCTGTCCATACCCTTAGGGACTACCCAGAAATGGTGGAGTTGTTGGCCCATCTGTCAGTTTGTCGCTTGCATGTTGCAGTGATGCTGGAATTTCAAAAGCCAGGAGGGTCATCCATGGTGTACGAGTTTCAGTGAACCATCCAGAATAAGTTAGACTAGGAAGACAGGCCTATCAATGAAAATCCCGATGAAAATCCCATGCAATGAGAGACCTGCAGCAAGGATACTGTCTGTGAACCTGTTAGAAGATGTCCCCTTAGGTTGAGAGGCACTCAAAATCCACAGTGGTTGCAACAGTGGATCCAAGAGGACAAATACTTGTGTAGATGATAGAGGACCAGGTAACACTTTATTCTGTTGAACATGGGACCACCAGGAGTCAGAGAGGACTAGACAACAACTCATATAGCACTGGCAGCCACAGAATTAACACAAGGCCTTGAAGAGTGGGCTGTGCAGATACAGGTAAACCAGCCTAATATGTATCCCCTGCTCTGCAACTAACTCCAGGGTTTACTATGATGTCACCCGGGACCAGCTCTGCCCTGCATTTGTGATGGCTGTACTTGAAGTAACTGTAGCTGGCCTTATATCAGATTTGGCTAGGAGGGAAAGGTTGGACAACTCTGGACCGGAATGAAGCCATCATGCTCCATCTTCTAATTCCACTGCTCCTGGCACTCACGGGACATGCCAAAGGAGATTCAGGTCTGTGCCAGAATGGCCCAGGGCAGAGGGTAGGGAAAGACCTGAAGCCTCTCACTCGGCTTCCACAGAGCTGATTCGGAGTCCTGAAGGCTACTGAGCTAGAGCACAAGTTCAGGAGACACATATAAATGAATCTAAGAGATCACCATTGATAAATAAAAGTAGGTATAGTGGGCTCAGCAAAAATGCCATTTTAAATGATCCCCCTGGGGTCTAAACCCATTGTTCTTGAAGAGCAGGAGACATGGAGTCAGAAGAGACAACAAAGAGTGAATAGGCAAAACTCTGTTAAACACAGTGTAGTGTGATGGTCAATGTCAGTGATTTTAGAACCAGGCATTCTGACTTCAAATCCTTGTTTTAGTATTTAATACCACTGTGGTCATGAAGAAGTTACTCTACCTCTCTGTTCCTCTGCTATTTCCCCTGTGAAATGGGATAATAATAGAACCAGTAAGAAATAAAGTTAACTTGCATAATAAAGTGGTAAAGTGGTTGGTTGCTAAGCAATAGGTTGGTGATGTCAACCCACCAGCAGATCCATGGGAGAAAGACCTAGGGATTTGCTCCTGTAAAGGTTATTGCTGTGCTACTGTTGAGTTGAATCCCAACTCAGGGCAACCCTGTGGGAGAGAAGAGAACACGCTCCATTGGGTTTCCGAGGCTGTAATCTTTTCTAGAGTAGATCACCACGGCTTTGCTGCAGGGCTCAAATTCTTGATGTCTTTAGTCAGCAGCTGAGTGCTTAACCCTTGTGACACCACAGCTCCTTCTGTACAGATTGTCTTCTACACTTCCCTGGGGAGCAGCTCTACTCTGGACAGCACCTAACAACAAGCCTTAGAACCTAGAACCGTGTCAAGTTCATAATATGTATTGGCTATTATTGTAATGCACTAGTCTCTAAGCTCCTGAAGGGTGGGGACAAACCAAAGGGGGGGGGGCGCGAAACCAACCAAACTCACTGCCATGGAGTCAATACCAACTCAACGTGACCCCATTGGACAGGGTAGAAGGGCCCCTGTGAGTTTCCAAGATGGTCTCAGTCCAATGGGCAACCACTAGGCCACCAGGGTTCCTTGAAAGGTGGGGACAAGCCTGACCTAATGGGTCACCCACGTGAGCTAGTAATGGGAAGAGCTAGACTTGAGCCCCAAATATGCTAGTAAGGTAATGCACTAACTTATAGCTAATAGATTACCATTACATATTTCTGAAATCAACAATGATCACAGAGCTGGGGAAATTGTGGTGAACCTCATGGGCAGATTAAACAAGTGTGCAGTGATCAGCCCTAGATCTGACGTGCAGCTCACAGATCTAGAAAAGTGGCAGAACAACCTGCTCCCTTCCTGCCAGTTTGGGTTCATTGTGCTGGCAACCTCCGCCGGCATCATGGACCACGAGGAAGCCAGGTGAAAACACACAGGAGGGGCAATCCTGGCTTCTCTTTTCTAGGGATGTAATGCATTGAAAAATAAAACACCAAATGATAAACAAAATACAACTATCATTCAAATGCACCAGACACTAATGCCAGTGATGAAGATATGGAAGAATTTTACCAATGTCTTTGGTCTGAAATTGATTAAACATCCAATCAAGATGTGGATTGTAATTGGTATTTGGAATGTAAAACTTGGAAACAAATAGAAAGCAACAGTAATTGGCAAACATGGTCTTGGTGATAGAGAAAGTAGGAATTTTGCAAGGCCAATGATTCTTCAAGACAAATACTTTTTTCCTTTTGGATTTTTTTTAGGCTTTATTTAATTTTTAATTTTAATAAATCATTTTATTGGGGGGGAGGCTCTTGTAACAATCCATACATCAATGGTATCAAGCACATATGTGCATATGTTGCCATCATCATTTCCAAAACATTTTCTTTCTGCTTGAGCCCTTGGTATCAGCTCCTCTTTCCCCCCATCCTTTTTCAACAACACAAATAGCAACCATACACATGGACTTCTCCAGATGGAATACACAGAAATTAAATTGATTATATCTGTGGGAAGAGTCAGTAGAGAAGCCCAATATCAGAAAGTAAAAGCAGGCCAAGGGCCAACTATGGAACAGATCAACAGTACTCATAGATAACCCAGATGAAGCTGAAGAAAATTAAAATAAGTCCATAGAGCCAAAATATGACTCTAAGTATATTCCGTTTAAATTTCAAGAACATATCAGGGACAGATTTGATGCATTGAACCCTAAATTCAGAAGACCTGATGAACCGTGCGAGGACATCAAAATCATCCTACAGAAAGAAAGCAATAGGTTATTTAAAAGACTGGACATAAAGAAAGATCAAGGTGGATGTCAAAAGACACTCTGAAGCTTGCTCTTAATTATAGAGGAGCTACGGAAAATGGAAGAGAGGATGAAGTCAAATTGTTGAACAAAAGATTACCCATGGTTGTTTGCTGAACATAAAGAGAACCTGAGACACTTCTCATGAAGATAAAGGCTTACAACCTTCCATATGGATTACATTTTAAATTAAAAGCAAACAAAAATACTCAAGCCTGGAACAATAGCTAACATCATGATAAAGGAAGAAACTATTGAGGTTTCAAGGATTTCATCTTTCTTGATCTAATCTGTACTCATGAAAGCAGCAGTCGAGGGATCAAATGTTGCATTCCATTGGGTAGATCTGCTGCACAAGACTCTCTAAAGTGTTGAGAAGCAAGGATGTTACCTGCGCCTGACCCAACCCATGGTATTTTCAACCATCTGATATGCATGTGAAAGTTTTACATTGAATAAGAAAGACAAAGAAGAATTGATACATTTGAATGGTGGTGCTGGCGACGAATATTGAACACACCGTGGACTGCCACGGACTGCCAAGAACAAACAAAGAAGCCTTGTAAGAAGTATAGACCGAATGCTCTTTAGAAGCAAGGATGTGAGACTTATTCTCACATATTTTGGACATTTTATAAGGAGAGACGAGTCCCTGGAAAAGGATATCATGCCCAGAAAAGTGGAGGAGCAATAACAAAAAAAAGGAGGAAGGACTTGGACAAGGTGGATTGGCACACTGGTTACAATGGGCTCAGAAATAAGAACAATTGTGAGGATGGTGTAGGACCAATCAGTGCTTCATGCTATTGTACATAGGGTTCCTCTGAGTCCCATCCACCTCCCAAAAACAGAGGGAGCTCAGGAAGAGCCTTAGGAGCACCATCAGTCCGTTAACAGTAAGGCTGCTGGCCGAGGTGGAGAACGCTGGGCCATCTGCTCCTGTAAACCCTTTGTAGAAATGATCGGATGGCGGGAGTTTGGTTTTGATTTGTTTTGGTAGTTCCCAGGTAGACATGCAATCTATCGAAGAGAGCAAATGAGTAGTGGTAAAGAATGAGAGCGAGGGTAGTGTTTTCAGGTTGAAAAAGAAATAGGGCTAGTTTGCAGCACAGGGAATTATATAGGCTCACTGTGTGCTGGGATAGACTTCATGACACCCACTGACAGCAGGAAGTGAGGCTGGAAAAATGGGCAGGAAGGAGATCCCGGGTGGTATCCAGTGCCCTAGGGAGGGTTTGATTTGGTCCTATCTGGGGTCAGGGAGAGTGTTTTCAAAAGAATCAGAAGACAATATCGACATGTTGGAAGGGAACTGAGATCGCCATTTGTGAGGTGAAAGTTGAAACAAGGGTCAGATGAGGTATCAGTTTTTTACAATGTCCTTCTCCAAAGATCACTTTCTTAACGTTTTATAGATCTACCTTCATATTAATATCATTAAATCGGGACTTGAGTTTTGTGTATGGTAGAAGGTCCAGTTTCTTTTTAAAATATCTTTTAAAAGTGACCCACAGTGTACAGAAATGCTGCACAGCCATGGCCAGCCTTAAATGGTTGTTATATTTGAGCCATTGTTGCAGCCACTGTGTCAAGTTATCAATTCATTTTTTCCCTATCCTTCTGCTTTACCAAGAATGATGTCCCTTTGCAGGGACTGCTTGGGTTGCGATATGCAAGGTCAGTCATTCAAAGGCTCCAGCAACAGGAGAAAGATGGGGCTTTCGACCCCTGTAAAGAGTTATCGGTTCAGAAACTCAGAGGGGCTGTTTGACCCTGGTTCATAGGGCTGCTATGAGTCATCATTGACTCGATGGCAGTTGAGTTTCTCTTGGTGTGGTCTATCCTGACAACATGCCCAAAGCACGTGAGACAAAGTCGCACCATCCTTGCTTCTGGAAGCATTCTGATTTTACTACTGCCAAGATAAGTTCGTTTGTTCTTACCAGAGGAAAGGCCATGGTACTTTCCCTAGTCTTTGCCAGCACCATAATGCAAATACACAAATCCTTCTGTGGTCTACTTTATTTTCTGTCCAACTTTTACCTGCATGTAAAGTGGATCGAAAAAGATGGCCTTTAAAATTCAGTTAGTTAGTCCAGCAGCATTGATCGAAAACTCCACTCTTTCCTGACTGGTGGGCCTGTAATAAAATGAGTTTCCATAGATGTGAGGAGCTCTTTCTGGACGCTCTATTCTGTTCCAATGGTCAATGTCGGTCTCTCAATAACCAGCACACTGTTTGCATAGCAATTCCTCATATCTCTACGTGCTTTAACTATGAATTATTTGAAGGTTTACTGAACAGATTATAGTTTTAAATTAGTAATTCGTATATATTCTCATTCAAATCATCCTTACAATCCCCTCAATGCACCATCGCTTATCCAACTTCCTGCATCCCTCAGGCTTTTATTCCTACTTCTTTCATAACCCTTTGAACTTTGTCTTTGGGTATGTGTTACCCCATTGAGCTTAAATTGTTATTTATTCCAATGTGGGGGGGAATTCCGACCTGAAGGGTAAGGGCCATATTCATAGTCCATATCTGACTAGTCAGTGTGGGCTCTTTTATTAATTCAGTTTCATACTTTTCTTCTACTCTGCCTTCTCATGTGATTCTTTTCAGAGCAGTTGGAAGTGGTGGGTGGGCACCATCTAGTTCTTCTGGTCATAGGGCTGTGGAGACAGGTGTTTGCATGGTCCTGTTAGTCCACTGGACTAATTGTTTCCATGTGTTCATAACTTTTCCTGATAGCCAGAAATTTCCTTACTTTTAACCAGGAATGTTTTGTCTCTTCATACTCCTTGTCTACTCATCACAAATTATGCAACCATTTTTCAACTTTGATAAAAATAAAATGAGTAGGGATTTTTATCTGCATTCTATTGACGCATTACATAATCTAAGTGAAGGAGTGGTGATATCTTTATGAAAAGAATCTTTCAAAGCTCGTCTAATAGTCCATTGAAGCAATTGTTTCTATGTATCTTTGATTTTCTTCACCCGTCTTTCCCCTGGTCAGAGAGAGACCAATAATTGTACTATAGAAGTGACTTTATTTCTGCCGTAATTGGCAATGATAGGACTTGGAATGTATGATCCTTGCTTTACAAATTTCACCTTAGAAATGCTTGATTCATGGTTTGGATCAGTTCTGCCATGGAAAATCAAGACTGCCCTTTGTCTTAACTAACTTGTTTTAGTTGAAAAAATAGACTTTTTACAAGGAAGAATGCCTTACATTTAGTTCTCAGTTGAAGTCATTAGAAATAATCATGAGAATCCTGGCCTGTAGCTTAGTTATCACAAGGTTGTGAAATTCAACCCAAGTCCTATAAGAGTTCACCAACTTTAAGGGAACAATCAATGTTTTCTATGACATTCTAAAAACTGTGGCTCACTATAGCCAGCAACCAGTTTCAAGGTTCAAATCAATTGCCCTTGAAATTATGGCAAAATAATATAAGAAATGCCACTCTCCTATTAATAAATAGATTTTGTCAGACATTTAGGTTCATGTGAGATGAGTATAAAGTGTCTTATCTTCTCAAATCACTGGTGTCAATAGTTATTTTGCCTTGAAAACTCTCTTATTATTAGGGAGTCCTGGTGGTGTAGTGGTTGCATGTGGGCTGCGATCCACATGGTCAGCAGTTCAAAATCCCCAGCAGCTCTGTTGAAGAAAGCCTGGGTTTTCTATTTCCCTAAACAGTTACATTCTTGAAAACCTGCAGGGACTCGCTATGAGTCAGCATTGAATCGATGGCTGTGAGTTTGGTTTGGTTTGATGGCATAATGGTTATGCATTGGGCTGCTAACTACAAGGTCAGCAGTTTGAAACCACCAGCCATTCCATGGGAGAAAAACAAGACTTATTATCCCATGAAGAATTACAGTCTCATGAACTATAACAGGGGCAGATCTACCCTGTATTATAGGGTATCTATGAGTTGGAATTGCCTTGATGACAGTGAGTTTTTGTAGTTTATTAATGACTAGGAACCCTCGTGGCATAATGGTTTAAGGACTCGACTGCTAACTGAAAGATTGGCAGTTCAAATCCACCAAGAGGCTATGTAGGAGAAAGATTGGACAATTTGTCCCTGTGAAGATTATAGGCTAGAAAATACTATAGGACAATTCTACCCCATCTTAGGGGATCACTGGGAGTCAGAATGGACCTGTGGTTAATGGCTCCTAACCACATTACTTATCAATTCGTTGAAACCTGCAGCTTTTACGCCTGTCTTCAACATTTAATATATGCTAAATCAAAGATATTTGAAGTTTGCAACAATTTCTTTAACAGCATTATCCCATTTACTGTCAAATCTATACGTATGGCCTGGAATTCCAGATTTTTCCAAAAGCTCGAACTCCAGACTTTGATATCTAAGTGCCTCCTAAGCATCTCTCTGACGTACAGTGAGCTCAGTAGAACTTGAGCTCGTTTGTGGTGTAACAATCCACTGCATTCTGCTATTAAATGGTCCCTCAGCCGCTCAAGTCAGAACTATGGGAGGCCTCCTAGTCTCCTCTCTCCCTTGTCTTCCAAACACAGCTAGTCATAAACTAACTTGCACAGCCTCCTCCTTCCTGTCTTCTTCCTCATTGCCCATGGTCCAGATTAGACCTTTTGCACAGACTCTGCTGGGTGGGACCACGAAAGCCTCTCCCCGCCATGCTACTTCTCCAAACCCCACAGGCCATCATCCAAGCTGGGAACCAAGAGGTCTTCTGGGAACTTCTTTGTTCAAACTTCATCATCTCTTCTGTCAGTGGAACGTAATAATGGCAGAGACCTTAGGTATTCCGAACTGTTATAGTGGAAATCATGGTAGTTTTTCCTCAACAAGTATGACCCCGACTTTGAGACCAAGATACTCTAGTCTGTTAAGAAATACCTATCTCTTCCTATTATTTTTTATAGATTATAAAAACATGTATTCCTTATCTTTTATCACTATAATTTATAGCAGTGGTTCTCAACCTGTGGATTGTGACCCCTTTGGGGGGTTGAACGACCCTTTCACAGGGGTCACCTGATTCATAGCAGTAGCAAAATTGCAATTATGAAGTAGCAACAAAAATAATTTTATGGTTGGGTCACCAAAACATGAGGCACTGTATTAAAGGGTCATGGCATTAGGAAGGTTGAGAACCACTGATTTATCGCTTTCTGTATGAAGCTTTAAATGTACATACAACAGTGTGAGGGCTACCTATGATCTTCCAAGTCGGATTGCCCAGAGACAGAGGTCAGACATGCCTCACCTCTGTGCATGATCACCCTATTCTGATGACAACTGTCCTCACAGCACTCTACTTTTGTGGCTGGGTCTAATAATTCATTGCAATGGCCACACAGAACTCACAGACAATGTTCATGACCGTGGGGTTAAGTAGGAAAGTTAACAGGTTGCAATTCAGGTGAGGAATGCTCAGGATACAGTCGTTCAGACCGAACAGTTTCTTTTCTGCCAAGCCCACAGGCAGGCCCCTGTCTGGTGCTCAGCTTCTCAGCCTGGCCTCTGCCCTGCTTGGGCAATGTTAAAAAGATTTTTAAGGCAGTCAATGAATGCCCGAAGGGCATGCCACTCAGCTGTAAGCTTCCATCTGAAGGCATTCAGGGACAGCTCCGTGAATCAACAAACCCAGCTCCCCCAATTAAGTGCCATAGGGACATCACTTCACAAGCCAGCCTCCCGTTCAAGAGCACCCAATTTTACCTGCTCTGTGAGCTGGGAAGTCCACTGCTCTGCTTCCTGATCTCCTTCTGCGTCTCCTTCGGTGTCAAAGTTGTCTCCTGGATCAAGGAAGTTGACTGCGCAGGGGTCTCGGGGTTCAATTGAGGCACTCTACTCCTGGCTTTTCTCTCTTGATAACAGGACAATCCCCCTGTCCTACTTCAGAGATGGCTCATTTTATATTCAGCAGGATGGCAATCACAATTAACCCTGTTAACAATCATTCACAGCTGAATCATATAATCCAATGAATAACTTCTCCCACCTTCTTATCCAAACTCATCAGGAAAAAAGGTTTTGGGTGGGAGTAACAAAAATCATATTAAATAATTGAATAATCAAATTCAATAATATGGAAGAACTACATTAAATAACTCATGGTATTGCATAGCTACTTCCCTGATATAGTTTGCAATTCTTTAAATTCAGTGTTCCCTATTCAGATCATTGTCTGGTTTCTGTCTCCAGGTGGATGCTGCATATTTTGGGTGACTCTCCACTGCTATCCTCAGGCCTATGTGGTTTCTTTTGCTTTATTTATTTTTAATCACTTTATTGGGGGCTCTTACAGCTCTTATAGCATTCCATACATTATTGTATCAAGCATATCTATACATATGTTGCCATCATCATTTCCAAAACCGTTTCTACTTGAGCTCTCGGTATAAGCTCTGAATCCTTGATCAATTATATATTATTATTATTTTGTATCTTACACTGCCCATTGTGTCCCTTCACCCACATTTGTTATTCATCCCCTTCTGGAGAGGGGGGCTATAGATCCAACCTTGTGATGGGTTCCCTCTTTCCCCCCCTACACGGTAGCTCTCCTCGACCTACCCGGTTTCTGGTGGAGAGCCCCCCAGACTTCCCCAGACCAGATCTGAATGAGATGACTTGGTCCTAAAGGATGTCTTGCTGGTGTTGGCAGGCCGGCTTCTCTTGTCAGGCCTGCTTGGTTTCTTTCCCGCAGCTCCAACACTGGTCTTAAGTAGAAAGAAGGTGGAAATATGGGTGTTGGTCTTCTCCATGCTTCTCAGTACAAATGGTTCTTTCTTTTCTTTCAGAAAAAGTTCAATGTGGCTACAGACCGGCCTTTTCAAATTCATCATGGTTACAATTTCATGAGCTATTTGAAGTCCAGAAAGGCGAGTTTCCCTGGCAAGTGAGTATCCAGATCTCTCAAAAACACCTGTGTGGAGGCTCAATTATACACCGATGGTGGGTTCTCACAGCTGCACATTGCTTCCAAAAAACCTTGTAAGTTTCTTACCTTTTCACATGTCTCTTCAATGTATTACTGGGGCGGGGTAGCTTTACAAGACTTAAGAAGTCATGGAATGTATATCTGTATGTCCCAAGTATCAGCTATAGATTGACCAACTTCCCTTATCCAAATGTGAGTCATTTTCGATGTATTGGAAAACCAGTATAACACTTCCTGCCTGCCATTTGTATATGCAGATGGCACTTTATTCCTTCATTCTGTACATACTCATTAAGCACCAGGAAACTGTTTTAAGTGCTAGAGATACAGCAGTAGACAAGACAGCCAAGTTCGCTGTCATCAAAAAGTTTGTGACTTGCTCCCTTTGAAGGATTCATCACATTTCCTTTGGTCTGGAAATGCCTGGCTCAGAGATTTCCAAGGATTGTGACCCTTGATTTCTGCCTAGCTGATGTAGTCTAGTCAATGTCCAGGCCATTGCATGCTCACTATTCTCAACTTTTTAGTATCTAGCAATAAACTAAGATGTTTTAAAACATGTCTGCAAATTCAAACTACAAAATCCCTATTGTTGGCAATAGGTGTGACCGTATGTGTTTTTCAGGTTAGAAATGGAAATGGAGAACGTGACTGTGGTCATGGGCATCAGAAAGTCAACTGATGTCAGCTTGGAGAGAAAGAAAGTACAGAAGATCATTATTCACAAAGATTTTCAACCCCGCCACCTTGACAGTGACCTCTCCCTGCTCCTGCTTGCCACACCAATACAGTTCACTAACTTCAAACTGCCGATCTGCCTGCAGGAGAAGGAGTGGGCCTGGGACCGGTGTTGGATGGCAGAGTGGGTAACAGATAATGAGGATGGTAGGTCCCTTTTCTTTGCAGCACATAGAAGACTCCTGTTTAGGCTTCCCTGGGCGAGATAGCCTGATGATGTAAACACAGGAACACTTAGGTCTCAAACTGTCTCTAGCTTGGTGATCGTGGGTGAAATTCTAAGCCCCATCTGTAGAATAATCTAATTCTAAGAAATTCTAGAAATTCTAAGCCCCATCTGTAGAATAATAGTAATGCTCCCCATATATAATTTACATGGAAGAAATTAAGTGGCACATATAAGATCTTTAGTAAATACCTGGATCTTGAAATATGACAATACTGATCATTTTAGGAGGTCTCAGAAGAATTATAGGAAGCCAGTTTATGTCCACCCTTTGAGGGTCCATCTCCCCACCTGTTTATGACCTAATGAAGCCCATGTAGACCACATCTTGAGATAGCTCCAAGCCAGCGATTCCTCAACTGAGCTTAGTCACCCATTATCACACCTCTTTCTGTTCAGGACACTGGCTGACCAGTCAGGGGGACATCTGTGAAGTGGGAATAGGGTGGGGAGAAGCTCTTCTGGGATCATGGCAATGTCCTTTGCACAAGACGCCACTTCCAAGTGTGTAATTTTCCTAGTTTCTCCATTGGCCTGGCTGAGACCCAGGAAGACACTAATTGGAGGTCTGCCTATTGTGACCCTCTGCACCAGGACAGAGCATGGCTCTGGTGGGGCCATGGGGGAATTTCACTCTGGTTTCTCGGAAATGGACTGAGGATGGAGGTTTGACAGGTTGTATCCTGAAGGCATGATCTTCCCAGAGAGGGACACACAAACAGAATAAAGGAGCCACTTATTGGGGATACTGGAAAGGAATTGAATGGGGCCTTGCTTTAGAGGGTTCTAAGGCCTTCCCACCCTGTGAGTCTGTGGTTTGCCGAGTTTTGGTGGCCTCCCGGGGCTGCAACCCTTATTTTTTGTGAGCCCTCATTCTCAGTGGCTGATGCAGTGCTAATCCTCCCGCCGGCTTCCTCCCTTTGCAGACAAACATGTCATATACCTGCAAAAGCTGAGAGTGGTGCATATTAATTGGAGAGAATGCAGCAAGAGGGTGAACCAGCTCTCCAGGAACATGCTTTGTGCCTGGAAGGAACCAGGCACCAAGGGCAGGTGCCAGGTATTTAGCCCCCGCCCCAGACCTTCCCTCATGCCATGCCACCCCCGTCACTTCTTAGGGTCCCGGCAGATAGGCCAGGAAGGATGTCCTTCATTCTTTTCGTTAGCTCCGCTCCTGCTCGGCCTCTTGCAGGTGGTGCCTTTGATTGCTTCCAGGTAATTCCTTACTCTCTTCTTCCCAGGGAGACAATGGGGCACCTATGGTTTGTACTAATCATGGATCCAAAAGACTCTTCCAAGTTGGTATCTTCAGTTGGGGCATAAGATCTGGCTCCAAAGGAAAGCCTGGTATGTTTGTATCTGTGGCTCGATTTATTCCATGGATCCAGGAGGAAATGGAAAGAGAGGGGAGAGCCTACACCATTTCAGGAGCTCTGAGAAGCTCCCTGACTCACGCTCCACAATACCCTTTATTACTAGGTTTGGGGTTGGGACCCCAAATGCTGTTCACAGTGATGTTTACTGATGATAAACCAAACCACTAAGCTTTGGGCCCACTCTTTTTTCCACTCCTCTCTTCTTTCCTTCTGTAAGCACTAATGCAGTATCTGTAACAACCAACGAAGCCTTATGAGGCAGTTCTGGTCTATCGCACTGGGTCCTGATAAGTCACAACAGACCCAAGGGCACATAACAACTTTGGGTAAGCCTCGACACCAAATTCTGCTAGTTAGACATGACGCAGTTCTCCCACATCTCATGATCTAATGCAGGCAGAGCAGAAAGGAGGGCCAGCAGTGCAGGAAGGAGCCCAGGAGTCAAACATGATCTCTGACAAGGCAGGCCAGGGAGGGCTTCTGGAAGACATTGGAAAGTCAACCTTGAGAAATCGCTTCCTGTTCCTGGATTGTTTCTTTGTTTGTGAACAAGGAGATCCAACTGAGTTCATTTAAAAATCTTTCAACAGTCTGATATTTAGAAATGCTGAATAATGCCTGCCCTTTTTCTCATAAAACACATTAGCAAGCTAAAGACCAAGCCTTAATTAAACCAGTTCAGTGCCTATCGTGGACAAAAACAGGGAGTCCGTCATCTGAAGAACAAGTCCTTTTATCTACTGTGCAGTTCATAAAAGGTAGACTCTATAGAAGAGTATGGATTGGGGATTTTCAAGGCCACACCTCCCTTATTTCTCTCCTTTGGATGAAGCAGCAGTACCTTCCTGCTCCATCTAAACTAGCGTTTCTTAACCTGTGGGTTGGCGACCCCTTTGGGGGTCGAACGACCCTTTCACAGGCGTTGCCCAATTCATCACAGTAGCAAAATGACAGTTAGGAAGTAGCAAAAAAAATAATTTTATGGTTGTGGGGGGTGTCACCATAACATGAGGAACTGTGTTAAACGGTCGCGGCATTAGGAAGGTTGATGAGGTAGTTAGTTTATTGTGCCAACCTGGCTGATAAACACATGTGGGGTTGATTGAAGGGCAGAGGGATAAATGGATCGGTGAGCCTTGCCTTTCTAGTTCTTGGATTTCTTGCTTTGTGATGGTCGGACCAGGGTGCAGCTGTCTTAGCCAGTCCCCTGCTTCAGCTGGCAAGGCTCACTTCCTGCAAGACACCCCCAAGGAGAAGCCACATGGACCTGCCCCGACGCAGCACTGGGTTGGGATGTTTTTCTTGATGTGCATTTAACCTTTATATAAAACTCTCTCTGATACATGAGTTTCTGTGGATTTGTTTCTCTTAAATACCTTGACTAATACAGTTGAAAACCACTGATTTAAACCAACAATTGAATGAGGGCTGCTATAACGGGGCCGAAGTCATTACCTATCAAGTGAAAAAGGACGAAAACTCAAGGGCAAGATAGCAAGTAGGTACGTACTTTGACTAAGAGGAAATAAAATAGCTTTGTGTGGCCAAACCAAAATAGACCGGATGAGAGTTGGTAGAAAATTGTCATAGCAATTGTACAATACTGCTTGATGTGATTGAACTATGGAATGTTATGATATCTGTAAGATCTCCCAATAAAATAATTAAAATATTTTTAAAAAGATGTTTAAAGATTAATTCCTAAAAGTCAAAGATCATTGTTGGAATCCATTCTTGGTCCTTTCTCCGTTAAATCCACTGGCATATGTACATTCTGATGTTAAGCGCATGAAGGAAACAACGAGTACTCTGTGGCCCCATCGCAGGACACGAAGAACACTGCAGCGCAGATATCTTGTGAGCAACAGACGTGTATCAGGCACTGAATAGTAACGTGAGTAGATAGCAGGGGCGGGTCCTGTCATAAACACATTATGCCACAGTCAAGTCTGTGCATCATTTGACACAGTCCTCGTGATTAGTTTCACGGGATGTCATTGTTTCACTCACATAGTGCTTAGGGTTTTAATAGAATGTAACACATAACAAATAATAGACAGCAAAAGGAAGATGAAATCGCCCCAGGCCACTAAGACCCAGCTTTGCTTCAAGCTTTTTGGGGGTTTATTATCATGTGTTCTTTTCTCTCATACCTTTATGATAGGATTCCCTGTTCTTTTTTTTTTTTAAATCATTTTATTGGGGGCTAGTACAATTCTTATCACAATCCATCCATCCATCCATTGTGTGAAGCACATTTGTACGTTTGTTGCCATCATTCTCAAAACATTTGCTTTCTACTTGAGCTGTGGTATCAGCTCCTCATTTTTTCCCTCCCTCTCCTACCTTCCCTCCCCCACAAACCCTTGATGATTTATAAAGTATTATTTTGTCATGTCTTACACTGTTCGACGTCTCCCTTCACCCACTTTTCTGTTGTCCGTCCCCCAGGGAGGAGGTTCTATGTGGATCCTTGTAATCGGATCCCCCTTTCCAACCCACTCTCCCTCCACCCTCCCGGTACTGCCACTCTCACCACTGGTCCTGAAGGGATCATCTGTCCTGGATTCCCTGTGTTCCCAGTTACTATCTGTGCCAACGTACATCCTCTGGTCTAGCCAGATTTGTAAGGTAGAATTGGGAAAATGATAGTTGGCAGGGGGAGGAAGCATTTAGGAGCTAGAGGAAAGTTGTATGTTTCATCATTGCTACACTGCACCCTGACTGGCTCGTCTCCTCCCTGTGACCCTTCTGTAAGGGGGTGTCCAGTTGCCTACAGATGGGCTCTGGGTCTCCACTCTGCACTCACCCTCATTCACAATGATGTGTCTTTTTGTTTTTTGATGAGGATTCCCTGTTCTTTTCTAAACCTTGCACACCTCTTTCTAGATTGCCTCCCTGGCCAATCCCTAGGGTCTGCTTCACACAGTTACGGGGAGTCCTGCCGCACACATGGTCATGGCACGCTTTCCAGACACACGCCAGAGTGCCGGGATGCCTGTTACAAATGCGATTCCTATACACTTGCCGAATTAGAACTCTAGGGCTGCCCACTCAGTTCATCTGAATTTTCATTTTCATCTGCAATAAAACTCCTTAGTCATTCTTTCTTGGGGAAAAATAATTTAGTCTCTTAGCAACTTAATTGAGATTTAATTGATGTTATGGGCTGATTTATGTCACCCCAAAAGATTTGTTCAAATCCTATCCCTTGGTACCTGTGAACATGACCTGGAAGACATGTTCTTTGGAGGTGTTACCAGTTAGCAGGTAGTCATACAGGAGTACGGGGAATCCCAATCCCACCTGAGTGCTGTTCTTATGGAAAAGAAGAGACACAGAGTCCCAGAAGAAAAATACAGCTATGACTGGAGACCCCCTTGCAGAGGGGATCAGGGTGCGATGTAACAGCGATGAAAAATACAACTTCCTCTAGTTCCTAAATGTTTCCTCCCCGCTCCCACTATCATGACACGAATTCTACCTTGCAAGTCTGGCTAGACCAGAGGATGTACGCTGCTACAGATAGGAACCGGAAATACAGGGAATCCAGGGTGGATGGTCCCATCAGGACCAGTGGTGTGAGTGGTGATACTGGGAGGGTAGAGGGAGAGTGGGTTGGAAAGAGGGAACCGATTACAGGGAACTATATGTGACCTCCTCCCTGGGGAAGGACAACAGAAATGTGGGGTGAAGGGAGACGTCGGACAGGGCAAGATATGACAAAATAACAATTTATACATTATCAAGGGCACATGAGGTAGGGGAAAAATGAAGACCTAATGTCGGGGGCTTAAGTGGAGAGGAAATGTTTTGAGGATGATGAGGGCAATGAATGTACAAATGCGTTTTACACAATTGATGTGTATGATTGTGATCAGAGTTGTATGCGCCCCTAATAAAATGATTTTAAAAAAAAAGAAAAGAAAAATACGGCCATGTGAAGATGCGCCACAAGCCAAGGAATGCTCAGAAATTTCCAGAGCTACTAGTATCTGGGGGAGATAACAGGAGATGGTTTATTAGAGATTTCAGCAAGAACATGCCCCGTTTTCACTCTGAAGTCAAAACTAGTTTCCAGAACTGTGAGATAATAAATTTCTGTTGTTTGAATCATCAGATTTGCAATAACTTTATTATGGCCGCCCCAGGATACTAATATGACCTACTGTTCAGTGTGCTTTTCATCTCAAACATGATTTTCATCTTTAGAAATTTAATTTGGGTCTCTTATGTTGCTCATTTTTTTCCTACCTAACTTGTTGAACACACAGGACACACTATGGTAACTGCTTTAATGTTTCCCTGGTGCTGCTAGCTTCTGTGTCGGTTCTAAATCAGCTTTGATGGATTTTTATCCTCGTTGCAGTTCTGTTTCCTTCTTTGCATCTCTGTTGGTGGGAAGGAAGAGGGTGAATTTTACTTTGTTGCGTGCTAGATGTTTTGTAGTCCTATCAATATTTCTGGTGCTGGGATGTAGCTCCATGAACAGAGCAGCACTTAATCAAAAGCTAAATACTTTTAAAAAATCATTTTATTGGGGGCTTGTAAACTCTTGTCACAATCCATCCATCCATCCATTGTGTCAAGCACATTCGAACATTTGTTGCCCTCATCCTTCTCAAAACATTTGCTTTCGACTTGAGCCCTTGGGATCAGCTCCTCATTTCCCCCTCGTCTGACCGGTCATTGGTTGTGTACTGTCCTGGAATAGAGGAGTGACCTTGAGTAAAGTGGCTTTAGCCAAGACAAATTTGAAGAGGTCTGAGAGCTGAGGGCTGTCATTTGGTAGCACTTCCTTTAAAAAAAAAAAGTTTACTGGCATATAATTCACATGTCATACAATTTATTCATTTAATCATATTAAGAAGAGTTGTGCATTAATTTCCATCAATTTCACAGCATTTTCTTCTCATACTAATTTTGATCACTTCCCCTTTTCCCCTCAAACCTCCCCACCATGCCCCTAGGTAATTATTAATACATTATTGTTTCTATAGATCAACAGATTTCATATACAGAAAATCATACAAAACATAAACAGGAAGCAGACAATAACAACAAAAACCAAAACAATGACAAAACAAAAAATCTCAATCTAAAAGAAAACAGAAAATATTAAAAACTGAAATAACTTTAAAATGGATCAACAGGGAGCTCAAATGATG